CATTTTATTTCAATCAGCAATTAATTACAATGAACGAGAGTAACCGTGAGTCTAGGAAATAGCATTTTTCTGCATTCTGTAACTAATTCGTCATCGGCGGCCAAAACGCATTTTTAATGGCGGCCAAAGTAATTCCTGAAAATGACTCTTAGCCGCCGGCGACCAAAAGCAATTTTTTTCGGCGGCCCAAAAAATTCTCGAAAATCACACTTGGCCGGCGGCGGCCAAAAGTCAATTTTCCGGCGGCCAGAAGTAATTTTCATAATGTTAATGCCGCCGGCGGCCAAGAGTGATTTTCGTCGGCGGCTAGACCGTCGGCGGCCAGCTTACACTGAGCCATTCAGTTGGGCGCAAATCAAAAACATCGGCCTATGGCATGTTTTTTTTTCTTATCATCCTTCGCGTTTTCGGCGAAACTCATAGTAGATAAGTGAGAACTGTCTGAAGCAAAGTTGCGAAAGGCCTCGAGTACTACAAATTTGCTGAAGACGCCAAGTCGTTATCTCTTATCAGTTCAGCGGAAAACGCAAAAAATCGCGATTGTACAACAAAATTCGTGTTTTTCGCTAAACTGATAAGAGAAAACGACTTGGCGTCTTCAGAAAATTTATGGTACTCGAGGCTTTCCGCAACTTTGCTTCAGACAGTTCTCACTTATCTCCTATGAGTTTCGCAGAAAACGCGAAGGATGATAAGAAAAAAAAAACATGCCATGAGCCGATGTTTTTGATTTGCACCCAACTGATAAGAGATAAGAGATAATTGTCTTATACAATGTGATAGAGGACCTCAAGTACTACAACTTTGCCGAAGACACCAAGATGACATCTCTTATCAGTTCCGCGGAAACCGTGAAAAACCGCGACAAAAAATGGGAAAATTTGGGATATTATTATCGGCTGTTAAAAACATATTATTAACAGCGATGTTAATAAATATCATCAGAAACGTTAATAATTATTAACATGGATGTTAATAAAATATTATCATGAAAATCATAATAATATAGTATGATCATACTATCGGTATTAACATCGCATGTTAATAATATATTAGTATGATAATACCGGTATTAACTGGTATTAACTAGTAAGTGATAGCGAAATTAACAGGCGATGTTAATAACGTATCAGTTGTTAATACCGCCTAGTTAATAATATAGTATTAATAATTATTAATAATATATTATTAACTGTGCAGCTATATTCAGACATGTGCTACGACAATTTGATGAAAATTCAGTAAGAAGAAGTAACAATTTCCGATGAAAAATTCTTTTTTGTTGCAATTTTGTTGCAAAATTTACACTCGAACAAATTTGACTCACTTTGGTTAAACAAATAATAAAATGATGTGCATATTTTTTTCAGAAACGTGGGGAGATTAGTGTTAAAGGAAAGGGAATAATGACAACATATTGGGTGTTTGGAAAAGGTGTATCCGTTAATCAAATTGTTCCACAAGGGCCTCTACAAGCTGGTGTACCACAAGCCACTTCACCCTCATTACAACGTCAAGTATCACATCACACGTCATTGGGTAGTATTCATTTTCGTGTTGAAATTATTTTTGGTGCTCTCTCCGCTGCTTACACAATTTTTTTCATTGTTTGTTTAGCGGCTGTGGTATATGGTATGATGCAGGCATCGAAACGGTCGTCTAATGTGAACACTACACGTAAGTATAGTTACATAAATAAATTACGATCACTTTACTATATGAGTAGTTTGGAGCGAAAATGTAATACAGAAAAGTTGAGCGCAGAGATGGTTCATCGTTTACCACAAGTGTATTGAAATGTGTATCGGTATATACTAAAAAGTATACCTTTGCGTTTAACGCGTTGAGCGTATGCGTCAGCTACTATTTTTGTGACAGCGAACGCAAAGGTATATCAATGTATATATACCGTTCTGTACGGAGTACAGTAAATACAACGAATTGATATACATATACTCCATCTCTGGTTGAGCGGAAAAATGTCGATGATGAATGAGCGGAAAAGGGATAGCCATATAGTAAACTGCATAGTAAACTATAGTGAACTATATAGCTATCTCTTTTCATTTGACATTTTTCCACGCAACTATTCTGTACACACACGTAAATAAGTACTAGAAATTGAGAAACCTCAATTTCTAGTACTTATTTACGTGTGTGTATTACATTTTCGCTCCAAACTACTCATATAGTTCGAAGTCTAATGACAATTTTTCATCTTCGTCTTTGAAGTTCAACCTTGATGCGTTATATTGTGTCAGATAATTTTGATTTTGATTTTTATACAGAACGTGTACACATTATTGCACGATTTGTATTGATAGGTAGCCTTCAATCATAATTGTATCGTTTTAAACATCGTAGAAATGGAAAAATTCGTAATATCTGTAGTAATGTTTTCTTTTGTCTATTTATTTTCATGTTGTACATGTTCATTTCTTTCTTTTTTGACATTTCTATTACTAGGTTGGAGGCGTGCTAAGCGATTAACATTCACATCTATGTTAGCGTATGTAATCACAATAGAATCGCAGTCCTCATATCCTCTAACTCTCAATCATGTATCACTTAGTAAAT